GAAGATTAGAAGCAGCACAGTGTTTAGATTTTTTCTGTGGGGAGCATTGTTGGCTCCCTGAAGCTATTCCACTGATATAGTGCTATATTAGCTAGGTTCTTCAGTCGCAGCGTTCTTGTTGTCTATCAGGAACCAGAGCCAGAACCTGGCCCCCCTCAGAGAGGTGCAGAGAGCAATGCCCTATGGACCCTTTACATTTATCACTTTTGCTCAGTAAAATTTAGTAGACGAATGTGTGGTAATGACGCAGTATGGCGTCAAAAATTTAGTAGACGAATGTGTGGTAATGACGCAGTATGGCGTCAAAAATGAACAAATTTGGCCTGCTTTTGGCTTGGCTGCGGGAAGGGGGCGCTGCGGTTTTGAACATTATATGCATATACTCATGTAGGGAATGTCATTGCAAACACATTGACACCAAAATGAAAAACCTAGGATGAGAATTGACGTGACAAAATTGAAAAGAGTGAAAACCAAAATTAAAAAACTGCGCGCTCCCACAGAATGTGCGGCGCACCTTGGGGTGGTCTGGGGCTCGCTCACCTGGCGAGTGAAAGTGTTAATATTTTATGTAAAGTCATATTTTGCCATCTCCCAGGGAGATGGCAATCAATACAGAGCACTGTCTGATTGAAAATTGCTAGCTACATATTCTCAAAATAGCAAAAAAAAACTCTCCCAGAAAGAAGAAAAACAACACATCATCTAACTAGACCCTACTCATTGGTGTCCCCCCCCCTCCCCCATGGGAAGGGGGAGCCGGCCCAGGTGAGCAAGCAACCCACCAATTCAGCTCTTGACTGATGGTGCTGGTAAGCTGACGTCAACTCAGGCCGCAATTTCTTTTCTTGACTTTGCTTAAACGACTGTTCCTACACGTTTTTTGAGCGACGGCCTGGAGTTCTTCTGGGTACCGGGGCTGCATGCTTCTAGGGTTACCGCCACTAGGTGTTCTGTAAGTACTGCCCTTGCGTGGTCAGGGTTATCTTCCGGTGCTGGTCCTGCCAGACTGCGTGTCATGCTTCCTCTTTCCGTGGAGTGGACAGTCGATGCTGCGTCCTTCTTTGACTTTGCCGGATGTATGGTTGTCCTGAGGTAGGCGTCGGCGTGGTTTCGGCATTTCTCATTTTACGTGGCACCATTCTCCAACTGCAAGGTGGATGCTTTGGACGCAGTGGACATGACCAGTCCTACCAGCCGAGGTGAACCCCCACCTTGACCGGCAGGACAGGTCGAGGTGGTGGTTCCTGTACCTCTTTTCCCCGATCCAGATGTTGCTCCGAGTTCTGGCTCAGCTGGAATCCTTTCGGGATAGAGTTGTTCTCCTGGCTCCATAGTAGCTGTCCCAGTCTTAGTTTCAGGCGCTGCTTGCTTGCTGTTGAAATGTGGGCATTTTTCCGCAGTTCCTCCTCTTTCAGCAGGTCGGTCCGGTGAGGTACCTCGCTGGTTCAACTTACTCCTCCATATTCTGCGTCTGGCATTTCTGATGCGTGTGCATTGCCATTTGTATGGTGATCAGGTGGCTTCTTTGATGGTGCTCCAACTGTAGTTTTCATCTTGGCAACAGAATTAAGTCTCTTCATTCCATGGGGAACTGTTCTAAGTAATACAAGTCCTACAGAAGGAATGGAAAAACTGACTTCAGAAGCGTATCAAGTCTGTCTGAAACATGTTCCTTTGAGGAAAGCCAGAAAGAGATCTAACGTAGAAAGAGAACGCAGACGACACTATAAACGCAGGAAAAAAATAACGGAACTGCTTATGCAGACACGAATTTCCCATCAAAGAAGGAATAATTTAAATAGGGAGATTGAAGAAATCGAGCGGAAATTGAAACACTCATATGAAACTGAAGAAAGGCAGTTAGAACAGAAAGCAATTCAGGAAATAAAGAAAAATCCAAAATATTTCTTCTCATATGTGAAATCAAAAGCAAAAACCACTGCCAGTATTGGACCTATTCGTACAAGTGAAGGTTCATACACGGAGGATGACAGAAATTAGTGAAATCCTAAAAAAGCAGTATGAGGACATATTTAGCACTTCAATAAACAACATGAAGGTGGAAGATCCAGACAATTTCTTTATGCGGGATATTCAAACCCCTGTAAATATAACTGATATAAACACGAGCGCACTAAATTTTGAAAAAGAAATTGAAAACATGCCCATGCACTCGGCCCCAGGTCCAGACTCATGGAATTCAATATTTATAAAGAAATGCAAAGTGCCGGTAGCACAGGCACTCAGTATAGTGTGGAGGAAGAGCTTGGACACGGGGGAGATACCAGATGCACTTAAAGTAGCAGACATAGCCGCTCTACACAAGGGAGGGAGCAAAGCATTGGCAAAAAATTATAGACCAGTTGCACTAACATCGCACATCATAAAAGTATTTGAGAGAGTGATTAGAAGTCAGGTCACCAATTTCATGGAGACCAATGACCTTCACAACCCAGGCCAACATGGATTTCGAGCGGGAAGATCGTGCCTCTCACAGCTACTTGAGCACTACGACAAAGTCACTGAGGCATTAGAAGAAAAACAGAATGCTGATGTGATATACACGGACTTCGCAAAGGCTTTCGATAAATGTGACCATGGCATGATTGCACACAAAATGAAGTCAATGGGAATAACCGGTAAAGTAGGACGCTGGATACTCAGTTTTCTGTCAAACAGGACTCAGCGAGTAACGGTCAATCATATAAAATCTAGTCCAAGTGCAGTGAAAAGCTCTGTACCTCAGGGTACAGTCCTTGCACCGCTGCTTTTCCTTATTCTCATATCAGATATAGACAAAAATACAAGTCACAGCTTTGTATCATCCTTTGCAGATGACACAAAAATCAGTATGAAAATTACCTCGGCTGAGGACATTGAAAAACTTCAAGCTGATATTAATAAAGTTTTCGACTGGGCATCAGAAAATAACATGATGTTTAACAGTGATAAATTCCAGGTACTCAGGTACGGTAAAAATGAGGACCTTAAACATAATACAGAGTACAAAACACAATCAAATGTACCCATAGTAGGAAAACAGCATGTAAAGGATTTGGGAATAATAATGTCTGACGACCTAACGTTTAAGGAGCATAACCAAGCAAATATTGCGACAGCCAGAAAAATGATAGGATGGATTACGAGAACTTTCAAATCCAGGGATCCCATCACAATGGTTGTACTCTTCAAGTCACTTGTGTTATCCCGTCTTGAGTACTGCTCAGTACTCACTTCCCCCTTCAGAGCAGGAGAGATTGCTGAAATAGAGGGAATACAGAGAACATATACGGCACGCATAGACGCAATAAAGCACCTAAATTATTGGGATCGTCTCAAAGCCCTCCAAATGTACTCACTAGAAAGAAGACGAGAGAGATATCAAATAATATACACCTGGAAGATACTGGAGGGCCAAGTACCAAATCTACACAGTAAAATAACAACGTACCGGTGTAAACGATATGGAAGAAAATGTAGAATAGAACCAGTGAAGAGCAGAGGTGCCATAGGCACAATCAGAGAACACTGTATAAACATCAGAGGTCCGCGGTTGTTCAACGTCCTCCCAGCAAGCATAAGAAATATTGCCGGAACAACTGTGGAGATTTTCAAGAGGAAACTAGATTTATTCCTCCAAGGAGTGCCAGACCAACCGGGCTTTGGTGGGTATGTGGGCCTGCGGGCCGCTCCAAGCAACAGCCTGGTGGACCAAACTCTCACAAGTCAAGCCTGGCCTCGGGCCGGGCTTGGGGAGTAGAACAACTCCCAGAACCCCATCAACCAGGTATATGTGGGCCTGCGGGCCGCTCCAAGCAACAGCCTGGTGGACCAAACTCTCACAAGTCAAGCCTGGCCTCGGGCCGGGCTTGGGGAGTAGAAGAACTCCCAGAACCCCATCAACCAGGTATATGTGGGCCTGCGGGCCGCTCCAAGCAACAGCCTGGTGGACCAAACTCTCACAAGTCAAGCCTGGCCTCGGGCCGGGCTTGGGGAGTAGAACAACTCCCAGAACCCCATCAACCAGGTATATGTGGGCCTGCGGGCCGCTCCAAGCAACAGCCTGGTGGACCAAACTCTCACAAGTCAAGCCTGGCCTCGGGCCGGGCTTGGGGAGTAGAAGAACTCCCAGAACCCCATCAACCAGGTATCAACCAGGTATCTTCGTGGTCTTTCTGCCATTTTCTTTCTCGTCAGGTTTTGTCGGTTTCGGACCAGGTTGTTTTGTCTTTTCTCTCGTGGCTTTTTCTAGGTCGGCATCTCATGCCTATTTCTGTCACTTTTTATCGTGCGGTGTTATTAATAGAGCCCGGAGTTCACAAGTCGAGCCTGGCCTCAGGCTGGGCTCGTATGGTAGAAGAACTCCCAGAACCCTCTTAAGGAATGCTCCAGGTATGGTGCAGCTTTCGATCTGGGTGGATGTCACTTCCGTTTCAGGAAATTTCTCGTACATTCTTTAACCTCCGGCTGCCTCATACGCTGCCTGAGCCTTCTTGGTCTTTGAACTATGTTCTTTCTATCCTCTCCTTCGTTTATGGTGGTTCCTTCGGTTCGTAATTGTTTTTGGAAAGCGTTGTTTTTTGTTAGCCTTGGCCTCGGGGGAAGTTGGATTGGGGAGCTTCATACTCTTCTCTGGTTCATGGTTCATGCTCACCCTTTTTTCCCCCCTCTCTGAGGTGGCCAGGTTCTGACTCTGGTTCCCAGTAGGCAACAAGAACTATGCGACTGATGAACTCAACTAATATAGCATTGTATCAGTGTGATAGCTTCAGGGAGCCGATGGGGCTGACCCAGAAACTGGTGTTTCATTACATCCAACCCTCTTTTTTTCTTTTCTTCAATATTTGTCTCATTTTTTATTGATATGGCCCCATAATTTTAGACTTAAAACAAAACTATTTATTTGTGTTTTTGCAAAATCAGATCCTTAGATCTGACCTTCAGTTGCTTTCATGTATACACTATATTTATATTATGTTGCTGTTTTTTATTCTCAGGAAACAAAGAGGACTGTGATAGGGTATTTTGAGCGGCAGGATGTTCCAGAGTTTGAGGTATTCCGGAAGGTAGCGCTCAATCTGAAAGATGACTGTCAGTTCCTAGCAGGGTTTGGGTGAGTTTCTTTTTTCCTTACTAGTAGTACTAAGGCAAAGTTAAAGGTAAAAATATGCGATTCTGGCTATATTGAATAAAAATCCATTGTGATGCATTAAAACACACCCAGTTCCTCACAAGTGATTTAGTCTGGGTTCAAGTTCTGGCCGGGGAAGATTGTATAGGGATCAATCCATAATTTTTGTCCCTGTTCACCCAGCAGTAATTGGGTACTTGGTTGTTAACAATTGGCAGGTCATGTTCCAGGGAAAACTAATAGGGTAAGGCTTATGATCAGCTATAAGAGGAGGAAAGCTCTCAGCCTGTTAACATGAGTCAGATGTTGTACTCGCCTAGTTGTATTTAACTAGTTGTGCTTGCGGGTGTTGAACTTTGACTCTTTGGTCCCACTTCTCGATTGTCAATCAACTGGTGTACAGGTTCTTGATCCTATTGCACTCTATTGCAGTCCTATTGATCCTGAAGGATCAATAGGACTTTGAACTGTGACCTATTGATCCTGAAGGATCAATAAGGTTCAGGAGTGAAATTGGATCCCATCTTTAGGCTGCAACTTGCATCTCACATTTTTACATGCCTGCTTCGGGTTGTTGTGTGTCCCTTTTCGTTTCTTAGGTCTTCGGGTGTTGGCCCACCTCAACGACTGGCTAGTTTGGGCTCCCAGCCAGGCTGTTTGTCTGCTAGCCAGGTATCTGTCTTTTTCTCAGATCGCCGGGTTCGGTTTCTAGCGATATGGCAGAAGTCCCAGTTGTTTCCATCCCAGGTTTGGACCGGGTTGGACCTCATTTGGGATTCCCGGTCAGTGTCACTTTCCCTGCCACCTGCGGCGTTGCATTGGTTGTAGTCCCTCCTTCTGTTAGTGTTCAGGGGGACACGGGTGACTCGGTGGTTACTCAAGCAGCTGTGCAGGAGTCTCCACTTTGTCCTTCTGGCTTACCTGTTGGGCAGACTTTGGTTCAAGAGGCTGTTCTAGTATCTTCAAGGTGGCCCCCTTTCACTGATCTCACGATTGCTGGTTTCGGACTCCGGTGTCACTCGCTAGTTGCTGCGTCACCAGCTTCCTTTTTGGGTTTTCCGGGGTTCAGTGCCATGGTGCCTTCCTCCTCCTGAGCTCGATGTTTCCCGGAGGCCTTGATTGTCGTTTGGGGCTTTGTGACCAGTGCTCACCCGTCCAGCCACGGTTGTTGGTGCCCGCTCCTTCGTCGTGCTCACAGCACAGCGAGGGCGTTTGCAGCCGTGTGGCAGGTGCTGCAGAGAGTTTGGATTCCTCGGGGCTCGGTAAACCGCCTCCATTTGGACGGTTTCCCCATGGTTCAATGCCTCAACCAAGGGGGGTGTCTCTTCAGTCCGTGGCTCTTTGGGGCTGGTCACTTTGGGTAGCTCTTCCGCTGAGTTCTTGGGGTTTGGCCCTCCATGCCGTTCACGTGCAGGGAGTGTCCAACGTCCTGGCCGACAATCTCTCTTGCATCCTTCCTCTTTCATGAAGTGGATCATCAATGCCGTTTCTTTACTCGAGCTTTGCTAGACATTCAGGCATTCGGACGTCGACCTCTAGTAAAGTCCCCTATCTCTCTCTACTCTTCCTTTCCACTCAATACCCTATCTCTCTCTACTCTTCCTTTCCACTCAATAGCCTATCTCTCTCTACTCTTCCTCTCCACTCAATACCCCAGCTCAACACTGCTACAGCTCAGTATGACCCCTCACTGAGCTACTGCGGGTACAAGCTGAAATATTAAATGAGGAAGACACAACAAAAATAGCGGTTATTAATTTAAACTTATAATTAAAACTCATTAAGGACACTGCCACCACCTTCCCGACCAACCATACCTGAATGTGTCTATCAGCGATCCCTCAGGAAGGCAAGGAATCAGTAATCATGGAACTCTCGGGCAATAGGAACTTCGGTAATAAATCTTGAGAATTAGTTTGTTTAATTTACTTTGCTTATTTAGGTCCAAGGGCAACTTTAATATCCATTAAATGGAGGAGAACGGGGGGATTTCCAAATACCACACATATATATATTGCATATAGAAACTGTTCAACATTAATAACAAAAGGGACAGTGATAACTAAACAATCAAAAACCAATTAATACTTTATTTTATTTAACACATACATTGAAATCAAATGAACATATACCGTACTTTATTATCCCTAAGAGGCAAAATGGATATCTACTAAGGACATGAATACTCAAGTGCACAATACCTTAAAACATTAAAACATTGACATTACTCTAACAAGAGAAATGTTGAACAAGAATACTTGCATAATAGACAAAACCCAAGATTCAAGAAGATTACAAATTCTTGAGGCAATTCACATAAGAATAGAGCGACCTACCATGAACACTCAAATCACGGAACTATTTACTCTACCCACCATGAGAGTAAGGACAAGACATGAACATATCGATGCCAACACAGAAGACAATGTCCAACATAACAGGCCAATTACACTGGATTAATCTTTGTGTTTAGATAGGAGATGCCTCGTATGGGCCAATAAGCCTTCTGCAGCCCCTATGTTTTTCCCTTATGTATCCCCCCATGTTTTCACCTTCATTGTATTATCACCTGACCTAATGCGGGTATAAAATCAACTAGTATTGTAAGATCTGTTCACTTGAGAATGAACCATGGAGGTTCGAAACGTCGTGCAAATTATACAAATAAGTGTAATACACTCTATAGTAAATCACTTCTTTTCTTCACCTTAAAAGTACGAAAATGAGTTTTGGAGAACTCCTATTTCAATTAAGCCCTGATGCTAAGAAAATAGTTAGAGGGATAGAAGCCCTAAACCAGAAAATAATAAATACAGAATATGCGGTCATATTCAATGAAATACCTTAAAACCGCACTTAGGCCAAGATGTTGATGGCTGCCCTCAGCCCCTTTGATGTCGGACCGAGTTCCCACCCCCAAGCACTCCCAGAACACACTACTGAATTTTGTTTCACCAGCTTACCAGTGGAAGGATTGCTCCTCTCACAATTTAATACAGCCCCAGGGCTTCACCCATTATTTTTGGCTACACCCAACCATTTAAAACTAGGCCTGAGGTCTGGCTCTCCAGGGCCAATAAGGACTTGGCACTTACTTACCGCCAATCACTTTCTGTGGGGTTTTCTATTTTGCTTTCCCAACTGCAATGCGTACTTCGCCAATGTACATGTGGCAGACGCTTCACGAAGCTGTCGGAATCAGCAGAGAAAATTCGAAAGCAACCGTATAGGGCCTGGGAGCAAAGTTGAGTTAGAGTCCTTGAAGGTCTCTTCTCAGACTAGCCTCACCTGGTCCTGGTCAACGTTGATCGTTGGAATCTTCTCAATGCTTTAACACTTTAAGGGACTCCTAGGGTCCTCATCACATTTATAGTTCAGTGAATAATAGGCAACTTGGTGTTGAAGACACCTGGAGCTGAAGGCTTGAGTAAATAGTTGTCAGTATTCAGAAGTGGTTCAGCGGAAACACCACACCGCATAAAGCTTAACAGTAGTTTATTTACTAACTTAACCACTAATACAAAGGGTGCTTGATTTACTTTAGATTGGCGTCAGAAAAGCTGTGGTTGCATTAGTGAGACTCTTAACGTCTGGCTAAACGACTCGTATCCACTCGTGGAGAAACACCTAACTTAACACAATTGACAGCCAATCATTAACACGGTAAACCTAACTGCCGGTGTGTAAAGGGATCACAGGAGTTCCAACCAGATACTTGGGTAATGATGATGCACAATAAATCACAATGGCACTGTCAATGGGACAGGCAATAACATGCACAATATTAGTATCACACAATAACTAAATGTGTGGTGTATGTGAAGCTCACATTCACAGACGAGTGTAATGTCGTGATACCACACAGATAAACACGCATACACCGTCGGGTGTCTAGGCCTCCACCTATACCTGGGTCAGGTATAAGAAGGTGAGAACTGTGGTTGATCCCTCAGATC